TTGCCTTTCACAATTGGTAACCAAGGAAAGCGGGACTCGGATAATAACTTTTTCAGGTGGTTAGCTGCGTCAGCATGCGTAGGTTGCAAAGGAACGAGTAATGTGTTTATTCCATGCTGAAAAGAGAAGAAAGGAAACGCAACGTTTCGGCTGTGGAGCCTTCTTCGGGTGTAAAGAAGAAGGCTCCACAGCCGAAACGTTGTGTTTCCTTTCTTCTCTTTTCAGCATGGAATAAACCTGTTACTTGTTCCTTTATAACTTTACTTTATCTGCCAGCAGCCATATCACCCTGCAACTCAAAACTGGCAACTCAATGAAGGTCAGCAGGTGTGAGGATGGTCAGTATTATTATTACTTCTATGTATGTTTTTCCAGATATGTCTTGTACACGGCTATATAGATGTCTCATAATTGGTTATCCCTGGCTGTGTTTCAGAATGTAAAGGATTTCTCACAAACATCTTAAAACATGAAGCCTTCCTTATTTGGAGACTTTCCTAAGCCTGTGTCAATCATTCCCTAAATAGTGGTTACACTTTGCTGTTGTAGATAGATGACTTTATTGGCCAAGTAAGTTTTCACTTACAAGGAATTTGACTTGGTGAGTTGCTCATACACAAGTAACATATATACATATATGTAACATATAGACACATAAAACACAATATACATTTCAGAAATTAGAGGAAAAACATATATTGTACTACAAGAATGTATCAGAACTCTACCTGCATGTGATAACCCCATAGATAAATACATATTTATGAAAGATAAACTGTCCATAATAAATATCCATCTACAGATAATAATATCATTAATGCCATAGTTGTAAACGAAGTAATCAATATTAAATTTTATGAACACAAATTTAAGTAATGTTCAGTGGGTGATTAATAGGAGTCACTGCCTGAGGAAAAAAGCTGTTTTTGTGTCTTGTGCTCCTGGCGCTAAATCTTGTCCCTGCTGGGAGACATTGAAAAATATGATGACCAGGGTGAGAGGAGTCAGCAATGATCCTGCCAACATGCGTCTGAGTCCTGGAGATGTAAAGGTCCTGAAGGGTAGGCAGGTCACAGCCTGTGATCCTCTCAGCTGTCCTAATAACATGCTGGAGTCTGTTCGTGTCCTGTGTGGTGGCAGATCCGAACCAGACCGTTTTGGAAAAGGTAAGGATGGACTCAATGAGAGCTGTATAGAACTGGATCCTCCTTTCCCTGCGACAGATTGGATTTTTAAAATTGTCCCAGGAAGTAAATCCTATGCTGAGATTTCTTGGTGATGCTGCTAATGTTGACTTCCCATTTGAGATCATGAGATATTGTGGTACCCAGGAACCTAAAAGACAGAACCGTGGTGATTGCAGGGTGTCTCCTCAAGTCTACTATCATCTCCACAGTCTTTTGGGTATTAAGCTCCAGCTTGTATTGAGTGCACCAGTCTACCAGCCGATCAATCTCCTGTCTGTAGGCGGACTCATCACCTTCACGAATAAGACTGATCAGTGTCTCATCATCTGCAAACTGGAGGAGCTTCACAGAGGAGGCATTTGAGGTACAGTCATTGGTGTAGAGGGAAAAAGGCAGGGGAGAGAGAGCACACAACCCTATGGTGCTCCTATACTGAGGGTAAATGACAAACGTGTAATGGAGATATCAAAAGGTCCCCAATGATGATGATGACAATAATGTAAACAATAAGATGATAAAGGGGTGCAATTGTTAAAAAAGTAAAGATGTGAAGGGTCTGTAAAATGCCTTCTGGAGTTTCCTGCAAAGTTAAAAATTGATTTGCCAATAAATTTCAAAGACGGGACTTCAGACATCTCTGCTTTTGGGGCTCAGCTCCCCCTTGCTCATCGTCTTAAATGAATGAGATCTGTGTGTCCCCCTGTGGCTTGGGTATGGTGTATTGTACTTGTCCACGAATAATAAAAGTGGACATTAATTGTTTCTGCTGATTCTGCTTTTGGATTGTATGGTCTCTATTAGGTGATGTAACATAAACAGATAAGAAGCAGCCTTGTACTTGTGTATAGGGTGATCTGTGATCAGAGCACTACAGAATGCTATTATTATAAATTTGAAAAAAATGGACTACATAAAGCTCACCAGAGCTGAATTTTAAGAAAGGTTAATGAAGGCCATGTGACTCATCTAGTGTGTTGTGGAGTTAGTAGCTAATGGATCACTCATCCCGTCCATCTGTTTCTTAAAAAGAAGCCATAGCAACAGCTTGGCTGGGTAACGTGGTCCCTACTCCCACACCCCTTTGGGTAAAGAAATGCTTTTCTCTCCTTTAAATGCTTTTATACATGGTTCCCCCCTGTGTGGTTTGCTTTTTACTATTGGTTCTGAGAGGGATCCCCTTTGTTATGTGGGGCTCTCTTCTTTGACGCTTGGCTCAAAGCAAGCCAGTCATCACAAGGTGAGGTTAGAATGACAGATACACAAGCGCTTAATCCTTTGCCGGGTTTTTGCAGGCCTTGTTTTGAGAGATCCTACAATGGCAGCCCCGTTCTGGTTTGGGTGGAGGGTGGTGGTACAACTTCAGATGTCTCCCAGAAGTGAAGAAAACCCCTCAAACAGCTGGTGTCTGAAGGGATACCATCGCCCCAGCTCTGGGCAAGAGTTTAACCTTTGACCCTTCTGTGAGCTAGGATGTAAAATTTCACGTCCAGACGTGACAAGCTATGGAAGAGGATCAGTTGCAGAAACAGGTTCGTGTCCTTTCAGGGCTGCACTTATTGGTGACACATCTTTTATGCTCAGAGATTACTCACTCACCTTGGCAACAGCAAGTAAAGATGTTGTATTGCTCTAACACATTTGAAACTCGGCGTGCCAATACTTGTGTTATGTCTGCAACTCTGCCTTGAATGTATCATAAGAAAAATGCTTCAAAGGAGACGCTGTGCTCATTCAAATGGTTGTAGTTTATTGAGCCAGAATTATCATCCAATTTTTCTAGACATTTCCCCGGGAATCTATTTGAACCACCTTGTTCAGTGGCTGGTTGCAGGCTCCCACCAACCTTGGTGTAAAAATGTCTCCTGCTGTCAGCCATAAATAGTTTAATCTCGTAATTTCCAGTTGTCCTTGCGTCCGTGTTTCACTGCTGAGTATAAATTGGTGCATTAGTTTCACCTTCTCAGTGCTCTTCAGGATATTGTACTGTATTTTCATATTGTTACGTCACATTCTGCTCTACTCAGCCCTAAGTTCCTTTAATCTATCCCGAGTGCAACTGCTGCCTTTGCGCCTGTTGCATGCTGGGATAGCCTCCAGCTCCTACGTCACCCTGAATTAGAAGAAGCAGTTAGAAAATGGATGGATGGGGTATCACACTATCTTTCAGATGTGGATTTATTCTGATGTAGCCTCCTCTGGACTCTTCCTAGCGCAGAAATATTCCTTGGCTGGTGTGGTGACCAGACCTGTGCAGAGTCTTCTGAGCGACGTCTAAGCATTGCATTGCATAACTTCAATATAACTTCCTTTTAAATGATATACTATCCACATGTCCCCCCAACACCTAGTTTCTCATTCCAGGTCCTAGTACCACTGTGCCTTCAGCCTTCCAGCCCAGGCTAATACTAGATAACTAATTCTTACTATTTTATTATTGAACTTTTAATTTCACCCATATTTCTGCACCTGGGTCCAAGTTTTGTTAAACAAAAAACTTTTTTATGTCTGGTTTCAGCTGGACCCAATATGTATATAGTTTTCTAAACAGTTCCTAATTCTTGCTCGATTATTGGTGTACAGAAGCCAGCTGGAATGGCCCTGTTCAACAGTCTCATAACAAGCCTTGTACTGATGAGCAGGGAGGGAGGGAGCCTCACAGCGAGGATGAGGCTTGACCTCGCCGAAGTGGGGTTTCTCTACGGCGAAGGGGCACTGGAAAGGACTCTGGCCCCTGTACCGGGTCCGAGGAAGAACGACCTGTTCCTTTGAGCTGCTGTGGAAGAGTGGACAACACTGTTTCAGGGCAGGGAAAACAGACATGGAATTCAGCAAGTGGTAGGGCTCGGAGGGACTCTCTAAGTGTGCAAATCCAACCCCCCAGACCACTTGCAGAATGAAAGATGTCTTACTTGAAAGAGCAGTTTATTGCGAGATGTCCACATACATTGGAACTCTTAATCGCACTGATCTCTCGGGAGGTACACAGCACAACGGACAACGCCACACAACGTAGACAGCAGGAGCACCAAATATATTGTGGAGATCGATAAGAGCATTACGTCGATAGAGACTTTTATGTTAGAGTTGTACTCGGTGAAAGAACTGTACACTTTGTGGAAATAGTTTATTTTTTGTGAAAATGAAATGAAGGGCAGATTCATTGGTTAAACCCCACCTGCTCATTTAAACAGAAAATTGAAAATTGAATTGAAGAAAGTTGTGAAATACAGCATCCGGCCCACGTTCATGCCAACTACTGCCCCCATCTTGCTGTTTAAGAGCTGAGCGTAGTTTTTGGAATCGCGCATTCTAAGGTGCAGTGGGAGGTTTGGTAGCACAGAAGGCAGCACAGACGGGTGGCAGCTCCTGGGTTCGAGCCACAATCCTTGTGTGGGGAGTTTGCGTGCGCTCCAGGCCATGTGGTTTTCTCCTGCAGCCCGAAGGCGAGAGAGAGCCGTCACCTCCCCATCTCAAGACCGGGGCGTCTTCAGAGTGTCCCCTTGTTGCTTATGGTGGCCTGGGCTGGGCGGGCTTCCCTTCGGAGTCTCGGCCTCCCGGCTCACCGAGACGCTCTGAAGATAAGGAAGTCACCGAGATTGAAGGGATGGATAAAATGGAAGTAAAAACTGAAGACCTGTTTTTCCGAAGTAACTTCCATTTACACCTGGCTCACAGTGTCTCATTCCACAGTTATGCAAGACATCTGAGCAAGAGGGATTCAGGTATAACTGTATATTTACATTAACAGGAAACCTACTAAGGAACGTGAGCCAGAAGGACGGACCGGAATCTTCTATTTCTGTCTCCTGTCCGCGTCTCCCCTGTTAGACCCGAGGTGTACGCTTGAGAAAAGCTGATCCTGAGCACTTCGCGAGAACCGTGGTGTTGACCTCATCAGGCAGGGGCGGCGAGGTTAATAATTGCTCATGGACGTGTCAGGGTTACTCCGGCGGAAGAGCGCTCTGGAGCGGAGCGGAGGTGAGGCGGGGGGGGGGGGGGACTGGGGGAGATCTGCGTGCGCACAAGCACCTCGCCGACACGGCCAGGAAACGTGACTGCACGCAGTCTGGAGTGTTTTTTAGGCTGCGCTCAGGTCTGCTCCTGCGACTCCGGGCCGCCTCGGTCTGCACCTCCACAGACCGTGACTCCGTGACTCTTTAAAACTTTAAGATGGCTTTTATACTCCATGAGATTTTGTGCTCCCCGACCCTTGGATAAACACGCCGCCGCCGAACAGAAACTGCCACCTCCGGCAGACCCGGAGGCCCTCGCTGTCGCGAAGTGCATTTCCCGTCTCGGCGACGTGCACGCCCGCGCTTACAAGGAGTTCAAGCCGCATGATCATGGCGCTTCCTGGCCTGTCTCAGCGCGCTGAGCGGCGGGAGGGGAGAGAGAGGGGTTACTCAGCAGTGTCAACAGGGGAGAGGGGAGCACGGCAGCCACAATTTACATATTAATCCAATCCACGACGCGTCCAAGCAATTGCCTACCCTCCCACAAATAAAACAAACCTCTTAGCAAACAATATGGAGGGTCAGATACACGGCCCAGCTAATAAGCCTCTGAATCGCACCGCTACCAAAATCTATTCGTCCCTCTTGCAGCGCGGAATAACTACAGGAAAAAAAGGGGTGAAGAAACACACACGCACACACCGGACCCATTCCTTTCCCACACGAACGGCGCTTCCTTTTGCCTCGTTGAATATGCAACAAGGCGACAATAAAAAAAAATTACAAGAAGGAAGAGAGAGCGAGGAGGAGGGCCGGGCCGCCCCCCCCAACGAGCCTCATTGCATATGCAAATGAGCCAGCGCGGGGGGTGTGGCCAGCGCGCCCCGCCTCGGCCAATGGCGCGGCGGCTGGGGACCGAGGGCGTGCCGGTCGGTTCGGAAGAGAAGTTCTCTATCAGCGCGAGCCCCAGCAGCGCTCAGTTAAAGACAGAGAGAGACGGGCGGCGGCAGTAGAGGCACTGCGACCCTCTTTGGGGGGGTCAGATTATAACAAAAATATACACACATATATATACACGCCCAGGCCGCAAGATAGCTCCTATGTTAATTTTAGATCTTTTTTTTTGGTCAACATAATATCTCTCTATTTTTTTAAAAAAATGCCTATTTTACTCTTCCTCATAGACACGTCCGCTTCTATGAACCAGCGGACTTATTTGGGTACGACGTATCTGGACATTGCTAAAGGCGCGGTTGAGATCTTTATGAAGGTAAAGAACCATTTTTAGCCAGACTTTTTTTTTTTTGGGGGAGAATATCTTTTCGCCTTTGTCGGAAGTTCAGGGTCCCTTTAAAATAAGCAGTCGAAATTAACGTGTTATTGTTTCGTTTTCTTTAACAGCTGCGTGCCCGAGACCCGGCTAGTAGAGGCGACAGGTACATGCTAGTTACATTTGATGAGCCACCATACGGAGTTAAGGTAAATAAAATCCTGTTAAATTGTATTTTGTTGTGGTAAAGACGGAAATATTTTCCGACAGGGAGACTCTAGGGCCCCTCTGGTTCGTAGATGCGGGGTTGGGGCGCCCCCCCGGCGGCGAAAAACGGCTAATTTTTGTGAAAATACCCGCAGAGCCGGAGCAGTGCAGCCTATGAAGATGGCGGACATTTTGCTTTTGTATTGGGGGAGCTCGAGCGCTGAGATGGAGGCGGGGAGATTTATGATCCGCCGTGACGCCACGCATGACGCAACGGGGCCCACACTGGCATCGGATTGGACGCGCTGCCTGCAACTCGTCCTTTGCCCCGCCTCCCGCGCCCGCTCATTGGCATCTCTCTCTGCGAGCCGATTGGAAAACGCAGGCAGGGCAAAGCAAACTTATTTTGATTTGCTGGGCCTTTTTTTTTTTTACTCCCCTCTCTCCAGCCTTTAATTTTTATTTTCAAGCACTTTACATCAGTATTTTTTTTTTTGGCTGTTGTTGTTCTCGTCGGTCCTGTTAACATTTTTCTCCCCACATATGTGCCCAAGTGAAAATCAGTTTCCCTGCCCTGTGCCCTACACACACACACACTGTGCAGTAGCAAACCTACCTAGAGGAGAGTCAGATCTAGAGCCCTGACCTTGATGGACAAGCCTGGCTAGAAGTTGAGCAATATAGGCTGTAACACTAGATTGATGTAAATCACACTTGTGTATACTTAGGAACTGATGTGACACTTAGTAACCGATAAGGCAGAAAACGAGTCCACAGTCTGTGTGCTTCAGGCCTACATCAGCCTGAGATGACAGGGCAAGTTTGTTGTTTTTTTCCCCCCACACAAGCTTGGGCAGAGCGGGGCCTGGAGGTGTCTGTAAGAACTGTGGGCGAAGCATGAATTCACTCTCACAAGGTCTGACACCAGCTGGCATTCAGGTGTTGAAAGACCGCTCTGTGGTGCTGTGCCCCAGCTGACCCTGTGTGCAGAACAGCCCCCTTCACCCTCGCTTCTCGGTCGCTGCTGCTGTCCATCTGTGCCACGTCACAAAACCGGGGTGTTAAAATCAGTGAAGCCACGTGACCTTTGAACCCTGACTGTAGGGAAGTGTGTGCGTGATCCCTCGGGCAGGCCAGTATAGGCCCGACGGGCTGTGTGAAGCTGCCCTTTACGCAAGGAGAAGGAGAGGAGGGCCCCTTCCTTGTTCAGCCAGCCTGTCCGGTCGCTGGGACAAGGTGTGTGCACATGCAGTGTGAACGTTAACGTGTGTGAACACACGCCTTCAGAGACTGATGGCATTGTTGTGTGAGGATGTTTTTCCCTCCACCCTCTGCATGAGGAACATATAGGCCAGCAATTGGCTCAGGGTTCCCGAGTGCAGCTTTTATGATGGTAGATTCTCAGTTCCCCGTTTTAGTCTCTTGGGTCTCACCCAGGGTTGGGTGCCAGAAGGGCCAGACCCCGAACAGTCCAGCGGTGGCGGTCTTTCCACTGCCTGCTGCCTCACCGCTCCGGGGTCTTGTGTTCGATTCGGGTCTGGGGAAGGGCTCCTTCCTTGTGGGGTTTGTCCTGCTGCCTTGCACCCCATGTCAGCCGCGATAGGCTCTGCTCACCCCTGTGCTCGGAGCTGGTAAGACACTTGAGGGTTAACTGATATATAACCAATCACATTTTAGCTGTTGAAGATGACAGAGCCCCCTCCCCCCCAGAAAAATCTAATGCTTTTAGGATCCAGAGTACCACTCCTCTGTGAAGTCTGTTCGGCGGGTCGGGGGAGCTTTTGCCTTTTTTTTTTTGGGAGTGCCACGCCCACCTCTTCACACCTGCGCAGGTGTGATGTGAGCATCATCTGCGGTTTCGCGAGACGGGGGGAAAAAAGCAAACCGTAGGAGTGTAGAGGAAAAAAAAAAGGAATCGCCGTAATAATATCTGCACATGATTTCTTGCTTTCATGGCGCCTTCTGTCCTTAATCCGACATTGCTCCTGTTTCTTTTTTTAAAACAAAAATGTAATTCTCGGGTCCGGCTGGTGGAGACCGTGGCTCTCTCACTCGGGTTGTGCTGAAGTCCGTGTGTGACCCCGTGTGCAAAAGGCGATGTCCAAGGGATGAGCCCGCTCGCAGTGTCGGCAGCGGAAAGAGGCGTATTTCGCCTCCCGAAGTGCAGAAGCGGCACGGCGCTGCGTGTGTGACCTGACACTGGCAGCGCCGGTGGGTGGGTTTCTGCCAGCTCATTAGCTCCCTCCTGCTGGCCAGGGGCCAGGCAGTCCTCCGGGGCAGCTCTCGCCCTCCCCGGCCTGGCCTCTGTGTCGCGCCGCAAGCTCCTCTGTGAGAGGACAGGGCTGCCAGCAGCCTTCCAGGGCTGCGCGTGTTCCCACGGGGGAGCGGGCTGGTCCTCCGTCCTCCGGCGTCATCGCCTTCCCGGGGCAAGAGAGAAACCGCAGAAGTCTGTGCCCGACGGGCTTCAGTCTCGCGGGCTTTCGTCGTGGGCTGTCGGGGAAGTTCCCATTGCACGGTGCGGAGCCCCGTTCGGTCCGAGTCTTTTGGGTGCGGAGCTCGGAGAGCCCCCCCCCATGTAATAAGATCCGGAGCTACCGCTGACAGGCCGAGCCAGTCTGTGGCCACACCTGCTGAAGCTGCCCATGAGCCGCATCAGAAATGTCTCGACTCCCAGGGGTGTGTGGGGCAGCGAAGTGGCCTGGTGGGGCTGGCATTCACGGTGCTGAAGAGGCAACGAGCAGAGCCTAGGTCACTGCCGGAAAGTGGCCGGGACGAAGGAACAACAGGATGAGGCCATGGAGCCTCTGGGGGCATGTCATGTGAGAGACGTGCACCTGTTGGTCTTCGCAGTGTGCAGTGTGGAATTTCGGCTTGACTCGTTCCTCCCGGGGACACAGCCACCCGCTCGATTGCCTTTGCTGCCGCTGCTGTACCAGAGTGAAAGCAGCACGCCTGTAAAAAGATGTCAAGATCGGGCCTTCGCTTCCTCTTGCTTCTGCACGCGTCTTTGCGTTGAACCTTTCCATGGGGAGGGGGGGAGGTCGTTGTGGTGTGAACTGCCGGGGTCAGAAATGCTCGTGTTTGGCATTCTGGTTGGGCCGAGAGGGAGGGTAAAGAGCTCGTATACGTGTGTGTGTGTGCATGCAAGCAAGCTGAGGGAGCTTGATTATCCCGCACACGGTGGCTCTGGAACGGCTCTGCTATCCGGTGCACTCAGCACACGGCTCCGGTCGCCACCGCTTTCCGGATTTCACTGAGGCAGCAGTCTGGAGCCCCGCAGGATGCTGGAAAGACTGAATTGGGCAAATTCCGCTCTGCGGATTCTAATAAGGGTAGATTATAATCAATAATTCACGAGATATTCAGTGGCTAATCAGTGAGGATTCCTCGGAGACGGATGTCTAACCATGGGCCTTGGAAACACGGCATCTCCTCCCTCAGTCACAGGGCCTTGCCTCCTTGACACATGAGTCCCGAATGAGCAAAGCGCGCTTTGTGTTCTCTCCCAGTTTTTTTGTAAGAAGGCAGCATGTGGCTCCCTGTATGTTAGGTGCATGCTTTTACAGGGAGATCCACTCTGGCTTGTAAGCATGCTGTGTAGGTTCCCAGGAAAAGCCAAGACTGTGTTTGTTTGTTTGTCTGACTGTGCAGAAGGTTGTCTGATGTTCTGAACCCGTGGGTCTCGGCCCGTGCAAAGCAGCGAAGAGTTTTGTGTGCGGATTTTGCCCACAGGCGACTAGTGGCAGCCTTTTCCCGAAATTCATCTTTTTTCAGTTGCGGATTTATAAAACCTTCTAGAAAAGGAAGTCGCCCAATTGTGGGTACTTAGTCTTTCAAACTGACGAGCAGAGAACGTTTTGTGTACGATGTGCGGGAGCGCAGGAGTAGGATTCGCTCCTCTGCACCTTGAGTGTGTGCACCTGGGTGGATTAAAAAGATGAAAATAAAAGAGCCGTCCCGCTTGAGAAAAAATTCTATCCAGCGGAGAGTTAAGATTGGCAGTATTTTCGCTATATGTGAGAGGCAGATAATATTTTTGCAGTCCCTGTCAGTGGAGCTGATATATACAGTATATTTCTGCTGCTTCAAGTGTGTTTTTTTTACCGAATTCCCGCATGTTAATGTGTTTTACTTGTGAAAATGAAATCAAGATTAAATGTTTCCTCTTAGCAAAATAGGAATAATGGATTTCTATTTTAACCCGCCCCTCCGAAAAATGTGCAGAATGTAGCCTGTAAGGAGACAAACTGAATTGTTATCCTGGCCACACTGGGGAGAGGTGTAATGTCTGGCTGATAAAATTCCAGCCTGAGGTGACTCGTGGCCTGTGCAGATTTAGGGCGATGGCCAGTTTTAGGGGTTCCCCTACCCCCTGCGTGTGAAGTCACACACACTGGCAGAAGAGTCCCACTCTCTCCTGCCCAGGTTTGCAAGTCGAGTTTTGAGGAACCTCCCATGTGTCGACGAGGTACCTGCTGAGCGCGTTTCTGCGAGTCTCTCTGAAGGTCTGGTCACCTGGCAGCTTGTTTACATTCCTCGGGGGGAGTGTTAGTCACAGGGGTGGGGACTGCTTGCCCTGTCCTGATTTTAGTCACTTGGAACTGATCAGCCTCCCCATCTTCGTCGGCTTCTGGAAGTAGTCATTATTGTGTTCCTGACAGGCTGTAGTATCGGTGGTATTTCCCCTGGAATGTTCAACAGGCCGTCACGAATCTCTGACAACGCCTACTCTCGTTTTTCATTCCCTTTTCCTGCTGTTGCTTTGTCCGGGACGAGAGCGTCCAGCCGGCCGAGAGCTGGTCCATTTCAATATTACCAGGATGAAGCTGGAAAACTGCTGCTGAGGAAAACGTAGGCGGCATGAATCTTTTCCCACGAAAAGCTGTTTCACCAAGCTTGCGTCTCCTGAAAGCTCCACCTGTAGTAGCTCATCAGCGCCATGCTTGTCATTAGGGAGAAGAAATGGGCATTTCTTTCCTTTCAGTATCTTGTCCAAGTGTGAAAAATGTGATTTCTGATTTTATTCACCCTTTTAACAACAGACATGTGGTTTGTGTTTGGAAACCTGCATCTGATGCAGGAATCTGATGCTGATGCTAAACTAGTTTTAAACAGTTGACGGATAAAAATCTAAAGGTGACCTTTAACGTTTTGTAGAGCTTCCGTGTGTTTTTTTTCAGAATGTGAAAGGTACTTCCGATGTAGATAAATGATTGGCTTTGCAAGACTTTTTTTGTGGTCAGGAGTGTGGTGTTATACCATTCAATAAGACCTACGTAAAAAAATCGGTCCTTCTGGTTTCGGCAGCCGCTCGGAGAAACGAGTAGGTGCTCTTGTTAATCTTGTCTTTGAGTAGGATGACGTCGTTAAGGGGAAAAACTGTTGACAAAGAAATCGTATCTGTGGCGTGTTTGGTGTCTCCACCCTCTGATACTGTGTGTTTTCAATGGGCATGTCCAGCAAGGGTTCAAGGCTTTGTAGGCCCATCAGCACTTTATGAGCATAGCTGGGGCACATAATCCTCTGTCTGGTTTTGTACTCTTAAGTTACTTAAAACAATTTCAGGCATTTCTGATGCAACTTCTCCCTGCTCACCTAATAGCACAATAAGACGTACAGTAAGTGGGTAGCATTGTGAAAAGCTCCCAACGTTGCTATTTTGCTGCTGCCGTTTCGCCAAAAGTGTCATGAACTTTTGAGGCACAGATGATGTTGGTGGGATGTTTTTTTTGTTTCTGTGGAAGTGTGTGTCATGCTTTCAGTTCCAGAATGGTTTGCTCTCTTCACTGTGTAATCCTTTGGCATGGGCTCTGCAGCAGTTCGCTCAGTCAGTATGACCCCGGCCTTGGGGTGACGTGTGCAGGCCGAATCCACTCCAGATGTTCACCGTGCAGCGGACTGAATTCTCCTTGCTTGTACTTCCCCCAGCGGCCAGGCACGGTTCTCAGGCCAGTTTTCTGAGATGCCTGTGCGCGGAGATCGGACCTTTTGCATTCATAACACAGTGATCCCTTTCACCTGTCTTGACAGGTTGATACTGCTGCTCCAAGGCCCCCGGTGCTGGTGCTTTATTGCACGTGTCTCTGTTGCTGTTGCTGTCCAGAGCTGCAATAAAAAGGGGGGATAAAAATCACAGCAAGGTTCCTTTGACTCCAGTTGTCGTGCTGCTGGTAGGGTGCCTTTTTGCAGTGTTGCACCTGAAACTGCTCTGTTACGCCGATGCAGTGCACGCAGATATGTAACACTGGCTGTCTGCTTGGCCTCTTTTGCGCCAGAGAAGTGGGCCGTTTCCTGGACGGTGAAGCCAGGGAGTCGTTGCTGTGATCCCCGAGCTGTATTCGGTCCAGGGATGTACATCTGGCTGCGTCCTCAGCGCTTTCTCTCCCTGTCCCCACGCACTCGGTCCGGCCAGTGGGGGGAGACACCAGCGGCAGTCGGCGGTACAGAAGCATGCATTGTTAACGACCTAAAGGGAGAGAAATCGTGCATATAACTCTTCCCTCGATCGTTGCCTGGCAGAGCTAGTGTGTGAGGAGGACCGGCGTGCACTCGCTACAGAACGCGGTGTAGTGCTGATATGTCACCAAGAGCAGGATGGAGAACGAGCTCAGGCTTTGCAAGCCCTGTGTACAAGCACTGTCTCACCTCAGTGGTAGTTGCATGACAGTCAGCAAAAGTGCCTTGCAATTGAAAGCAGCGGGTTTTCACGGGAAAGCTAGGAAATTAACAGCAGAGTTTATTTATCTTAAGCTGAGAAATGACGTAGACTATAGAATTTCAGTGCTTCTTTAGGAAGAGACACGACATGGTGCTAGAGAATTTTATTGCATTGCAGTGTTTTACTCCACAAGTGAAAAGCTCAGCAAAGAGCATATGGATAGGCAAAGACATTGGTACGGAGTGCATTCTATTTTAGATGTGTTCGCAAGTGGGTACATATGAACACACATTGCTTCTGTACAGGAAAAATATATTAGGAGTTTTTTTATTGTTGGTGGAGGTGTAGTTCCACCCACTGCCTCTGTCCCCCATCTTAGTGGTGTTTTCCATGTGGGTGGAAAAGCACATGTACTGTTCATCCCCACTGTCTGCTGCAGTTCACCTGAAGAGCAACTCAAAGATTCACATGGCACAAAAAAAAACTATTCTTTTGTGTCAAAATGTGCTGGAAAAATAGTCCCAGGCAAAACAAGTGTGAATGTATCCTAACCTGTGACTAGATGTGACTTGACTCTGACTGGTTAATAACCATTAGTCAAAACTGTGTTACAGATTAGTATAGGGCTTTGCTAATGCAGGTGGCACTTACTTTAGTTTTCCAGTTGTGTTAACAGGTTCTCAAACATAGTCTAGGGTACATTTGCACATTTGGTCAGTGAGTCTTATCTACTGGAAAAACTTTTCAAACTGGAAGTCAGAGGATAATCTGGTACTTAGTACTTGTAGTTTAGCTGCATATTATGTTTCTATCGTTTCCTAAATGTAGGTTATTATAGCATTATCACCACCCTGTAATATAATCTTGTCAGATCTCAGATACCTGGTTATTACTGAGACAGAAGACCTCTAAGGAAATCCAATATAAGTGGTGTTAATGGACCAGTAGGTGGAGCTCTTCTCTCTGTACTGTTGGAGGGACCACTTTTCAAAGGAGAATTTGACTTGAATCCTGACTACTTGGTCATTAAGGATGCCACGCTGCTGTTTGCAAGAGTAGGGGGTGCTTACCCCGGTTTTCTGGCTGAATTCCACTTTGGCTTCTGTCATCTGGCCTCCTTAAGTTTACCCCTTAATGGATTAACTGATGAAATAATTTCGTTGGCTACGGATCTGCTGTGAAGGGGGCCTGTGGGTGCAGAATGTCTGCTCTCCGTCACCCAGGCTGGTTGTCCTGTATGCAAAGCATTATTTGTAATGGAAATCGCTACACAGACGCAAGGCGGTGTTGTTATTGTGATTTTCCAAACGGGCTAGAAAACACCCATAGGCTCTGCCATTGTGCAGCCATCACCGCCTCAGCTTCTGTATTCAGGCCTTCATAATCTCTCTCCATCCTGAGTCTTCTTGTCGAGGGGGTGCATTTCCTCTGTTAAGTCCTGTGGCGTTAATGAGGATGCCGTTCGCTGGAGCAATGCACTGCAAACCAATAGGCTCACAGCCCTGCAGGTCATTCTTAGATTAAGCCTAAGGCCTTTAAACAGTAAGGTACTTGACCTCACTGAAGGAATCTAGCAGCAGCTTTGAGATCTCAGCCTTGAAGACTGCAGCACGGAAGAGTGATGGAGGCAGCGGTCGCTTTGTTAAAATATCTCCGGCTTTGCCTCAGCAGATTTGTTTAGATTAATGAAGGTTTTGTTTCCATCTTTGTGAGTCAGGAGCCTTTAAGTGAGCTGTGCATGCTTCGCTGTGGTTTGAGACATGCGAGTCTGGCAAGAGGCCTCCGCGTTTTCAGAAGTTGTCTCCGCTTCCCTTTTGATGACTGAAAAAGGTGCACTGCAGCTTTACAATAAACATAATGCTCGTTGCTGTAGCGGGTTAAGACCTTCAGAGAAGATAGAAGAAGGCGCCGTTTGTGACTAGAATGGAAACTTTTGTTTTGTGAATTGTGGGATCGTGAATATGGTGTCTTGTAAACACTGAACACTGAACAGGACCAGAGCAGCTGAAGCTAACCATTTTTAACCTTTTATTTATTTATTATTAATCATTAGGCTTTCTGTCTGTTAACTGCATTGTCACCCAGTAGGTTATACAGAAGTGTTATGTGCAGTGCATTTAAGAAAGGTACCGCTCTTTTAAGTCCAACTTTGCGGCTGTACTTCAAGTTCTCCGAATCGATTTAAGCACAAGCTAAACGAAGTGACAGCGGCGTTCTTCCAGTACAATGCACCACTGAACAGGCAGGAGGCACAGGGCTGCCGCACTCTGTGCCCGATTCCGTTTTTGGAGCCTTCCTTGAAGCAGTCAATGATCAATGATCCCGGCAGAGGTGGCACGACACCGCCGGCGGCCTGGCGCAGCGGCTGAGCGTGTGTGGTCTGGCACACCGGGCTCCGGGAGTCTGAGGGGGGTGGAGGGGAGGGGGGGGTCGAGCACGGGGCTCGGCGAGCTGCAGAGCGCCCCCTGCAGACTGAACGAGCACTCGTCTGACCACCCCCCCCCCGTGGCCGGTGCCGCGGCTGGCGCGTGCCTGAATCCCAAGGGCGCTCGTTTCCTTTCGCCACCCCTGGAGCTCTGGGGGTGGGGAAAACCTCTCACCGCACGGCGGTCTGTGTGGATCCGTGACGGCTCCGTTGTCTCACTTCAGAATCCGGAAAAAAAACAAACAAACATTCTGGCTTTTTTATCTGCATAAGAGCATGAAGAAAGGGGCTGTTCTGCCCCTCTAGCCTGTTGGACTGCTGCACTCTCATAACTGGGAGCGCACGTTTCTTCCCGATCTTATCTGCTCCTGTTGTATAACAAACGGGTGCCTATGTGAATATATACTTTGTTTGAGCACTGCAGCTCAGTAGGTAGCTTTTTTTTTTTTGCAGCTAGATACCAGGGATGTTTTCTGGTTGGTGAAGCCGAACTGAAAGTGGTCCAGTAATCAGATCGCTTTGCAGTGCCTCGTAGGATGTAATCCAGAAATCGGTGATGTAGGAGAGCCGCAGGTTTGCATGTCGAAGCGAAGTGGCGAGAGAGTGGCACTCGAGTCCTTCGCCACAGTCGTCACGGTCGGGCCCTTTTTGTGTGTCGGCAGGCCGGCTGGAAGGAGAACCACGCCACGTTCATGAACGAGCTGAAGAACCTGCACGCCTCTGGGCTGACCACGCTGGGCCAGGCGCTGCGCTCCTCCTTCGACCTGCTCAACCTGAACCGCCTGGTGTCGGGCATCGACAACTACGGACAGGTAGCCGGAGCTTCTCGGCATCTCGGCGCGTGGAGGCGGCGTTGGCGAGCGCCTGCAGAGGGCCAGGCAGCTGCTGTTCGGTGTGGGGGGGGAGCCTTTACTTATAAAAAAAAACGAAGGCCCGTTTGGTGTCGGAAACGTTGATTTAATTAATTACAAGCTGGCCCTGACTTTCTCGAATCACAGCATTTGAAAAAACGTATTGATTGAATTGATCTAATTAAAGTGGTTGCTTGTGGGAACCTCGGAACTGCTGTTGGCTTTTTTTGGTCTGCAGTGTTCTTTCACCGGAGGGCAAGTACCGGATAACAGAGATTTCTTCCGGTCTCTCCATCTGCTCCTTCTTTTAGGGCCGAAACCCTTTCTTCCTGGAGCCGTCCGTGATCATCACCATTACGGACGGGAGCAAGCTGACGCACAACTCGGGCGTGCAGGAGGAGGTAGGTGCTCCACGTGTTCTATATAATATGCAGTGAGTAACAGAGGTCTGCTCATCTCACCTGATACAGCGAGATGAATGCACTGCTGGCCCAGGGGAATGACAGGCTGGCCCATCGTTTGACACTTGCAGTGAGGAAGCACAAAAGTGCATGTATGCTTCTCATCAAGGGTCTCGCTTGCACGCCATTTTGAAGATTTAAGCGTGACCCCCCCCCCCAGCACAGAAAGAGCTGAAAAATAACCCCCCCCCCCAACCCCCCCCGAGAAAGCGGAACCTGAGATGGAGTCCCGACGCCAGACCCGCCTTTTTGTTGAAACTCTTGTCTCCTCCACGCAGCTCCATCTGCCCCTGAACTCCCCGCTGCCGGGCAGCGAGCTGACGAAGGAGCCCTTCCGCTGGGACCAGAGGCTGTTCGCCTTGGTGCTGCGGCTGCCTGGCACCGCGTCCCCCGAGACCGAGCAGCTGGGCAGCGTCCCCACCGACGAGTCGGCCGTCACCCAGATGTGCGAGGTCACTGGAGGTAGGCCCCCGCCAGGAAGCCACGCTGCTTTTAATCCGTGTCCCGTGCTCGTCGGGACAGGTTTCCTCCGCTTGCGTGACATAGCGCTGTACTTGCGGCTCTCCCCCAGCAGTCAGCGTTCGGTGTACAACTTGCAGCACTGCTGCACTTAAAGGCATAGCATCGCACGGAGAGACAAAAGCAAAATTTAGGGGAAAAGGGTGCTAATGAATTTAGAGTCCTTGTTCTTTCCTAAAGCGTGTGGCATCCTAAACGTTCTGAGTACATTTGCTTTCACCCCTTGCAAACCTTGGTTTCAAGATGTCGGGCTTGGGCAGCAAGCAGCTTGGCATTTTCATGTCTTGATGCACTTTGTCAGCCACTACCAGTGGCCAGGCTTGAGAAGCACAGGGTTCTGCCTGAGCACAGCGGGGAGTCACGCCTACAGTTTATGGAAATTAACCCAGTGTTGGGAGAGGCCGACAGAGAAGGCGCTGCTGGGAATGGAAACATCAATTACTGTCCTTTGATTAGGCTAAAATCTGATCTGGGCATGTAAAGAAAATAACATGTTGGACACTCTGCTAGCTTTGGGTAGCCCAGTACTCACCACATTAGGAAAACCTAAAACACTCTTCACTAAACTAAATTGATATGCTGTAAAAAGCAGCTGCTGACTGGACATATTACCCAGAATCTAGGGAGAGATTAGAAGTCGGGGTAAGAAATCAATTTTGTGCTTTCTTGTGGTGAGGACTGTGTTGGTACACAAGGTCAAATAGACTATACTTTGCTTATTAATTATTATTTGGCTGTATACCATGATATTTCTTCAGGGGTTTTTGGTAAATGAAATCTTGAGAGTCAACAGTGGAGCATGAGCCAGGACACACCGCCAGAAATTATGGGAAAAGTGCATGTAATTTTTTATGCAGAGGGTTTTGTGCATTTGGACCAAGAAGTCCTCCCCAGCTTCATCTAAGAAAAGACTGAATCAGATCCTCTGATCATTTAAGATGGACCGAGTGGTCTCTGCTTGTTGGGTTTTTCTTTATCAAACCGCATTTTGTTCCATGTTTAAGAAGCACAACTGCCAAGACAAACCGACTCCAGGTTGCAGCCCGTCGTTTTTGTCATGACTTTCTCGTCTCATCGATTCATCGGTACGGCACTGCTGTGCCCTTCAAGCGAATCGGTCTCAGTTCAGGCATTCAGGAGGCTGTTTAGTTAAAGATTAATCCAGTGAGCAAACCTTTTGATTTAATTTGCTAAACTGACCTGAGATTAACTAAAAAGGAATCAAACTGCCGAACTCTGTTAACCAACGTGTCAGAGGAACTGGGTGGCCTCCTCATGTCCTGACGTTCTAACTCTGCTGCCATTGCGGTGCCTTCCCATAATCCTCTTTCTCTCTCCTGCCCCCAGGCCGGTCCTACTGCGTGCGCACCCAGAGGATGCTGAACCAGTGTCTGGAGTCGCTGGTGCAGAAGGTGCAGAGCGGCGTCGTGATAAACTTTGAGAAAACGGGACCAGACCCGCCCCCCGTAGGGGAAGGTACGAACCCCCCCCCCAAAAGACATCTGCGTGCGTTTTTTTTAAAAAAATACTCCCGTACCGCAGCACTTAGCAGCGTGTCTGGGGTTTGCACCCATGCAGTCGCCAAGCCATCCTCTCTTGACAGGATTCTTTTAATTCCACAGATGGACTCGTCGACCCAGCCCGGCCCGTCTCCTCCTTTACACCACAGCCCTGGCACAGCTGCCACAAGCTCATCTATGTGCGTCCCAACCCCAAAACTGGTGTGCCCGTCGGTCACTGGCCCATCCCAGAGTCCTTCTGGCCTGACCAGAACTTGCCAACCTTGGTAAGGTTAAATAAGATGTTTCCCAGCTGCGTAGCTTGTAGTCTGTGCCCTTTCGATAGAGGCAGATTAGTTTTCCTTCCTGCTCCTGTCACAGGCTGCTTTCACCAGGCCTGAAGCGGACTGATTCTGCTCTCCAGTAAAACACCGGATCTGGCTGCCGCGCTGGAAGGCTGAGGGAAAGAATGATTTAGCCAGGCACCTTGTGACAGCCGCCCTCTGTTGCTTCTGTTCATACTGTATGTCCTTGGGTTCCGGAAAGAAAAAGAGCTGATATGAATTTTCACTGTTGATGCTATAGATCTGACGCGTCGAAAGGCTACGTATTTTTTTGTGTGCCTTTGAGTGTGACTGTGTTTAGCGCACCTTCAGAATGTTTGCCAGTGAAATCCATCGTGGTCTTTTGTAAATCACGCGGTACTGTGCGTGATCAGATTTTATCAGTCAAACTGCCGTGTAGACTTGAGACGTATTCACATGTCATGGCTTGGAGGTAAGCTCACAGATCACCAATGTGTCTGGGATGAGACTCAGCTTGGAGCGTCAGGTATTGATTGGAGCAAGACTTTGGCAAAACACAGTAGAATCTGTTTAAATAACAATTTAGTTTGTAACAATAGCATAGTAATATTATAGTAAACGTTCGAGGGTCTTTTCTAGGTAACAGTTGACATTATTTAAAATTTTGAAAGTCTGAACTCTGAATGTAATGCGCTCTACAGCTGGTGTGTGGGACCGACTGTACTCAAGAGACATTTTTATAGAGTGACCCTTGTGCTTTTCTTGCATCTTTTTGTAATCTGTGCCCAGAGGCCTTATTTTAAACTTGAACACGGGCAGATTGGTACTTTTGTGTAAGCAATCACCCGTTTTCGTGGGTTTTATGTGAGAAGAGAGAAGTGAAATTGAAAACAAAGCGCGCCCTGTGAGCTCACATACGTCTCTGTTGCTTTCGTGCTGACATAACTTGAGAGACCCATTTTGTAAGTGCCCTGTGTCTTAATCTCCAGACTATTGCTGTGGATTCCCCTTTTTCAACACGTCATGTCCAGCCTTTAAAAAAAAAAATGGTTTGCAAGGCAGGGTGTTCCGTACTTATGAATACGTCGTATTAACAGCGGCCTGTTTCTGTAACGGCTACACTGAGCTTTAGTCTTTCCTGCACTCTCCCTTGTGAAACGGGAAGCGAAGAATTGGTCGCCCAGATGCGACGATTTAAAAGATGATGGCAAAACGGGTGTTTCGCAGAGCTTGGTCCCCGTAACGCCTGAAGAACAGCTCTGTGGGAAACGGGACCAGCTGGAGTGGGATGTGGAGCGGAGAGCGCCACGAAGTGCGCTACTCTTGCCCCCCCCCCCGCAGAGCCGCGACCCCGCCCTCACCCCGTGCACGTGTGGGAGCGGAGCGCTGACCGCTTGCCTCTGTCCCCAGCCCCCACGGACGGCCCACCCCGTGGTGAGGTTCTCCTGCGTGGACTGCGAGCCCATGGTGATCGACAAGCTGCCCTTCGACAAGTACGAACTGGAGCCCTCACCCCTCACGCAGTACATCCTGGAGCGCAAGTCGCCTCACATGTGCTGGCAGGTAGGGAGGAGCCCTTCATTACGTGTTATCAATATTAATAAATATTATTAATATGAATAAATAGTAAATAATATTAATATTCTAATATATTATTACTTATTGATATAATATTATTTTTTATATATTAATTAGTGCACAGGAATCTGTTCCTCAGCTGCAGTCTCCAAGGCTCTATTTATTTTTCACTCAATTGGACCCTTTTTCCTCTGATCCCAGGACTGTAGTGTGCAGTGATTTAAAGAGGCCCATGAAATGTGCTGGGCTCTGGCCCTGGAGGATATTAATTGAGGAATCCGTACGTCAGCGTTGGCCGTAACATCGCTTAACAAGTAGCGTGCTGTGCTGCAGTGTGCGATTCTCATCCGTGAAAACGACAGAAACAGAGAGGATGCGCACGACCCGTGCTCTCTATCTGATCCGCGACGGGCCTCGGGTGTTGAGTTCAGGCATGCAGGGGCGATTCAGCAGCGTGCGTTGCCGGAACGAGAGTGGCCTGTTGTTTCCGCTGCAGAGCGCTCGGAGGTGTTAACTGTCCTTGCGTTGCGTTCCCAGGTGTTTGTGAACAGCAGCGGGAAGCATAGTGACCTGGGGCAGCCTTTCGGCTACCTGAAAGCCAGCACGACTCTGACCTGCGTGAATCTCTTCGTGATGCCTTACAACTACCCGGTCTTGTTGCCATTGTTAGGTACGTGCGCAGGGGTGGCACCCGTGTCTGAAAGAGTGGCCTATTGAACACCGCCTGTTAATTTACCCTTGAAATGTTAATGTTCCGCGTGTTCCTTTCAACAGCCTCCCTTCTGTTAAATCCATTTTTTTAATAAGATGTTGTTTGAATTTTTATTTTGCCACGTCATTTGATTTCGTCTGCTTTTCTTCTGTCTGCTGCATTATGTTAACGTGAAAGTGAAGCTGTTTTTACAAGCTGTTGGAGGAAACACACTCGGAAGTAAATATTTTCACCGAGTTGAAACCGTAGCCCAGAGCTTGCCCAGAAATGGGGAGCTCGTAGCTTTCCGGTGCTTCTTCTTGTGTAACGTGTCATTGTCCTTTTCTAGATGACCTCTTTAAAGTGCACAAACTGAAACCAAACTTGAAGTGGCGCCAGGCTTTTGAGATCTACCTGAAGTCTATGCCTCCTTACTTCCTCTTGGTAAGCCAGTGTTGCAGTGATCCGTGAATAGTATGTATTATATTTCTTGAACACGTTCGAGTAGGTAGCTGTGTCAGCATGCGTAGGCTGCATAGGAACAGGTATTCCAAGAGGAAAGGAACTTATGTCAAGACACCTGAAGAAGCCGAAACGTTACTTTTCTTTTCAGCATAGGATAAACCTTTACCTCGTCCATAATTTATTTCAGTTGACTCAATCCATTATATCTGTGACAGTGTTCCCCTAGTATGAGAGAGCTCAATTCAGAGTTTGTCTCTGTGTCTTTAAACTCTCTTTCTGATTCTCTCTCCGACTGGACAGCCATTGAAAAAGGCCTTGAGAATGATGGGGGCTCCCAATCTCATCTCGGACAACATGGACTGTGGCCTCAACTACAGTGTCATCTCCTATCTGAAGAAGCTCAGCCAACAGGTACGGCCCCCACGAGTGCCGCCGTCTCCTGCGCGTCTGACAAGCTTGAGATTTTTGCGTTCGAATGGCTATCGCTTCTGTAAGAGAGAAGTCATGCTTAACACTCCACAAACAAACAGGCCATCCCATTCTGCAGTTTTTTTTTTAGAATTGTATTTCTAGAGGTGAAATAAACTTTGGGATTTATAAAGTACTTTGTGGAAATAATGACAGGCAGAGCTGCTGTCCTGACATATATTCAGCCAGAAAGATATTTGATTCGGTAGAAGATGGGAAATGTAGCAACTTGCTGCCAGGACAGGAATTGTTCTGAAGGGATTTGACAGAAATTAAATGCCCAATTAACAACAACAACAACTAACGCCTGCACTCCTCTGTCGACAGGCAAAAATAGAATCTGACCGGCTTATTGTGTCCGTCGGGAAAAAGCCCCCTCAGGAGACGGGCATTAAAGTGAAGAACCACTCCAACGCCCTTTCGCTGGCGCACCGCAAGGACTTCAAGCAGCTGCTGCTGGGGATCACCGGCGAGGCCCCCCTGCGACTCACAGACATCAACCTCAAGGAGTTCGCCGGCTTCCAGATCGCGCTGCTGAACAAGGTGCTCCGTGCGCTGCAGGAATTGTTTCCGTCTTAAAAAAAAAAAACAACCCCAAAAAAGTGAAGCGGGCAAAAATTAACCCAAGTGCTGTTCCTGACGACGGTACATTTATACAAACCGTGAACAGGGTTGACCTTCACTTTCAGTTAGCGTCCTGGAACAGAGGGCCGCTATGGGGAGAGCATTGCTAGCCCTAATAATAAGACCTCACCTGCCACAGCCTGAATAAATATAGCAGGCCGTCTACCATAAGGGGCTTCGTAATTTCATTAATAATGAAATGTAAATGGTAAAGCTTGGGTTGTGACTCCGAAGCATATTTCTTAAAGAGACCCTAGACTTGGCCTTCATGATGTTTCTGTGTCTGACACCGTATTCCAGCTTGTTAACCCATTAGCGCGTTTCAACCGCAGCATCTGTGCTGGTTGCAGCCGTTTCCCAAAACAGCGTGGCTGCTGTAGCAGATTCAGAACCCGGTGTGTGAGCCTTTCTCGCCTTCCTGCTCCCCCCTCCCCAGGACCTGAAGCCCCAGGCCTACAGGAACGCATACGACATTCCCCGCAGGAACCTGCTGGACCAGCTGACCCGCATGAGGTCCAACCTGCTCAGAACCACGCAGAAGCTGATCCGTGGGCAAGACGAAGGTGGGGCTTCTTCATCAGAAAAATCTCCACGTTCGGTTTCGGTTTTGTTTTGTTTTACTTGGTTTGTAGTTATTTTGAATGCCCCTTTCCCATATTTTTCTCCTTCCTTTTTTATTATTTTTTGTGCCTTCTGTTCCCTGATTTCCTGATCTTTTTTCCCATTGATTTATTTTCAATGCACTGAGCTGTCTTGAAAGATCTAAAAACGTGTTAGTTAGAAGTAAAAGCAATTACTTGAAAATATGAGTGACAACACGGTAGCTTAGGAGCAACATGAGTGATTTGGTAACCTGGTAATCTGTTGCTTTGCCTGCAGACTATTTGCACAGTATCCCTGTAGCTCAGATGGGAAACTACCAGGAGTACCTGAAGATGATGCCCTCGCCCCTCCGGGAGATCGACCCTGACCAGCCTAAGAGGCTGCACACGTTCGGGAACCCCTTCAAACAGGACAAGAAGGTACCCGCTTTCCCTTTTCCATTCTTCCATGAGTCAGTGATCGAAACATAAGGCTGTCGTGGGTGGGGGGGCTGCGATTCCTGCAGTTTTAGGGGTAGACAGCCTTGGCTGTTTCGTTTAAGTGCCACACAAGTAATTGGAGTGCATTGGATGGCAGGGAGTTGTGCTGCTGGTAGGGAACTGAAAGAGCCAGGGATGACGACTGTGACACTCCCCAGACATCAGGGATCCTCCTTTCTTCACTGGGAAGCGAAAGTGCTTGGAAGATTTCGAGCTTCTCCAGCGCTGAACGCGTTGGCGTCATTAAGACTTTGCCACTGAGGGAGAGCTTCTTTATTTGTTATTTGGTGATCAGCAAAGAATGACAGATGGACAGTAGCTGGGCGGTTTAAAGATCGTACCCATTGTTCAAAGCATTTTTTCGTCTCAATGATGCCGCAATGAGAGATGCTACTGTACAGGAAAACATGTTGATCTGTGTGGCCCTTGGTTCGGTAACTTCAAATTGTCTTTAAAGGGCGTTAGCCTTTCGGAGAAGTAACGTGCCCGTGCCGCGTCCTTCGTTTTCGCTACTGCGCCCACATTTAACCAGCCTGTGCCCTTGGGCCGCTGTTCCTCACAGGGGATGATGATCGACGAGGCGGATGAGTTCGTGGCCGGGCCCCAGAACAAGAAGCGTGTGGCGGGAGACCCAAACTCGGGGGCGGCCCTGAAGAGGCGGAGGAGCATGTCCCCCCTGCTGCGGCGGCCCCCGACGCCGCCCATCATCACCAACCACGTGCTGGGCAAGCCCCCCCCCGGGAGCCCGGGCCACCAGAACCTCATCAAGCCCATCCCGCTGCATAAAGGTAAGGGGAAGGGGAGCAGTCGCAGGGGGCCCATCTTCGGACACACGCCCGGCGGGGGGAAGGTGACGGGCCCTCGCGGTTTCAAGGCTTGGCCATCATCACCGGCGTTAAAAGGGAGAAAAGCGAGGAATCGTTCCTCTCGCGTTCGGAGAAACGTGGCGAGACTTGTCTTATATCCCGCCCCGTGTTGAAGTCCGGGTTTCGCGTTAGGTTTAATCGAACGTGCACCCCTTCTGAAACGCCGCCGCGTGCGGTGTTTTTGGAAAGCTATTCATCGTACACGAGTGCAAGCACAAGTTGCACCAGGGCTGAGCAACAGCGGAGCATGACCACTGTTCTTTGCACTCCCATCGGGGGGAGAAGCAACGATATTGCCGGCTTATTGCAGCTTGATGCAGCTTGATGCAGCTTGTTGCAGCTTGTTGCGGCATTGTCTTTCTAAGACTTTACTACGTCAGGGTGTTCCGTGCAAAGCAGACAAATCCTGTTGCCTACCCGTTTGACATAAGTGCAGAAAGATAACTGAGTTGCTAAATCCTGGGAAGTGAAGAGAGCGAAAACAGTAAGTGTAATATTTCGTTAGAACAGAGTTGCAGTACAAAACCAGCCCTGTAGAGATTTCTTCCTCTTAAGTGCCCTTCGTCCCAGAGTGCTGTACGGAGTTAAAAGCAGAGCTGGAGTCTGCAGTCAAATCATAACTATTTTATTTAGGACGACATTTGAAAAGGTTGTCTCTTCTGGGTTTCCGACGTTACGTGGAATGAAGTTGAGGGGCGAGGGACCTGGTGTCATCTGGTGCGGGGCAGCTCTCCGGGCCAGTCGGTTGGATCTGCCTGTTCCCTGTAAGCGCCGTGCTGATCCGGGCGTGTTGTGTGCCCCCAGGTGTGGACGGGAACAACGTGCTCGGGGTGGAGAGCAACGGCGAGAGGCCGGCGCTGGACGGGGTGCCGCCTCTGGTCCTGGGGCCCGAGGAGCGGATGGGCGGCCCGGGGGGCGAGGGGGAGGCGGTCATGGAGGATGGGGGGCGGCTGACCGAGGACGGCCTGGACGACAGGCCGGTGGCCCGGGCCCCCGACAGGCCGGAGAACTGTGACGAAGGGGCGTCCCCGGACCGGGAGGGCGTGCCGGAGGCCGGCGGGGAGGCGGGCCAGAGGGGGAGCCTCAGGAGCGTCAGCGTCCTCCCCCTGGATGGCAGCAACGCGGAGCTGCGCACGAGAGTCATCAAGGAAGTCCGCAAGCCAGGCCGGAGTGAGTGTCGGGGAACCCCGTGTCCGCATGGACCCCCTCCCTTCTTGACCACGTTCGTTCAGCGTTCAGCTCACGAGTTCACAAAGCCTTTAACACAGACGTCTACCATTCCGAAATAAAAAGACATTGGAACCACATGTAAATCATTCCCCCAAACTGTGTAGTTATCTTAATTGTGTTGTTTACTTAATAGTAAACATGGAGGGTGGTAAATGTTTCTTGACTCTGGACTGTGGTATGCATTTAATAGCTTTCCTTCATGCTTTCTGTTTCTTAAGTGACTTAAATCTTAAGTGTCTTTCCCCTAAAGTGGAATTCTACTTATTTTATAATTATTTACAGACACAGCTGCCTGTAGGGTTTGTGGCTGCCGGGCTAGTGGTTGGCTTCTACTTAATTTCTTTAATTCCAGAAAGTCACTTGACTCTATTGATTACAGCAGCCCTCAAACGTTTATTATTCCATGGTGTTGCACTCTGAACACGATGTACGCCAGTGCTTATTTTTAAAGTGTCGTACATTTTATTGCCTTCAAATGGTATTCTGATTTCTCAGCATTCTAGCCATGCTTTTAAGTTTATGGAGACTTTCAGGAATTTGTGTAGCTGGCTCGTGCGAGAATGCGCCAGTTCTCTTGAAAGCACGGTTAATTATTAAAAGAATCATCTTCCAACGGCTTGATTTCAGATTACGAGACAATATTCCGGTTGCTAGAAGAAGTGAAGGGACCTCCGGAGATACAGAAGTACTTCATCCATCACGCCATCAAGGAAGCAGCCAGGTGTGAGCGCTGTTCTGCATCTTAAAGAAAACAGCCCCCTTGTTCTAGCTGAGAATGAAGTGCCTGTTCGGAAGAGAACTCGGAAGGTCACTTGTTCAGGAACAGCCACTGGCAGGGCTAGGAAAAAATGCCTCCAGTTCTCTGTCAGGGGGATCTGATTAAGAAGGGTTCCACTTATTTTCGTGTATTCAGGTGGCATTGGTCGTTGTTGGTACATAAATTCTAGGAGGAGTTTGGTAATCTTGTTGCTGAAAACAGTGATTAATAGCTTGGTCTCTGGTGTAGGAGGCTTATATGCATTTAAGGCGTGGATTGGTGAGGCCGTTAACATGAGAGTGCGAGGATGCACATTTTAGGTGACATCAGGAAGACTTTTTTCGTTTATAATTCAGTAACTGAATTAAATAATTAGGAGGAAAAGGGGAGAGGTAGCTGTGATGGGACATGGGAGCTTAGGTAAAGTGGTCTTTGTTATGTGCTGTTTTAAGCTGTTTCCTTAAGAGAAGCCGCAAGCTGAACTCTCCCGTGTCTGTGGCCCTCCAGGTTCAAGAAGAGGGTGTTGATCCAGCAGCTGGAGACGGCTCTGGAGGAGATAGAGGACAGGTACCTGCCCAGCAGGGTCAACAACGTCCACAGCAGGTAACCCCGGGGTGAACGCACCTGCGAGGGAGAGAGCACGGCCTTCAGCGCTGCACGCGCGCAGCCAGGGCTGGGCGGCGCCGGCGGCCGGCGTGGGTCCGAGGAGAGGGGAGAGCGAGAGGACGGGGGGCCTCGCCAGCCCACGGATGCCAAGATCCTGCCGGCACAGACCAGGTGCTCAGGATAGTCCTGCGCCGCGACTGGCGCTCCCGTGTGCTGAGAGCTGAGAGGAGGAGAGATGCAGGGGGCGTGCAGAGGCTGGGGGCAGGGAGGGGGGGGGAGATCTACTCTTTCCTCTCAGGACTGTCCAGACTCACGATATCCCTGCTCCAGGAAGTGTGTCCGAGCACACACGCCTGCACGCTCCCGTGTGCCACGTCTGTGGAAACCGTGGACTGACGGCCTCCCCCCCCCCACCACCCCAGACTGCTTCTCCGATGTTGGGCAGGCGGCGG